TGTTCCATCCTAGTTTCGCTCTTACCTATTCCAGCATTACGTTTTGGGCATCTGAAATGGCCTCTTCTTCTGTTCCCAGAAATGCACAAGCGGTGCTCTTCAGAAATGAATCCTGGGGCCTTTACTCTTCACTATCTAAAAATTCCCACTGATCAACATAATTCACAGTCACGAGGTTCATCTCCACAAGCTCAAGACACACAACTGCTTCTGTCATCTCCTACCTTGAACCCAGTGCTGTTCTGACCGACAGATCATCAGCCATCAAGTGGTACAAGACCTGGCAGTTTTGTTCACATGAATGTTTACCTTATAGAAATTGCTATTGTACAATTCATTTTGCTTATGCCTAAACAGGTCTGGTCTCTTTTTGAAAAACAGAGCGAGCTCTCTGTATAACAGGCCAGCTATCTCTGTTTTTGTTTCAGATTCCAGCATTTGCAGCATATTGTATTTTGTTCTGGTCTCTGTAATACTTGTCTGATCCATGTATAACAGGCAAGGTCTCTGATAATAGGCCTATTCTTTGCATTCCTGGCCTGGTCACTCTATAACAGGCCTCTGATGATAGGTCTGGTATCTGTAAACAAGTCTGGTTAGTGTAAAGCTGGCTTGTTCTGGGCTTGGTCTCTACAGACACGCCTGGTCTCTGTATAACTTGCCTGATCCATGTATAACACTTCTAGTGTCTGCATAACAAGCCTGTTCCCTGTATAACAGGCCTGGTCTCTGTGTAGCAATTCTGTTACCTGTGTAATAAGCCTGTACATGTTGACTGACCACTGCTTAACAGGCCTGGTCTCTGTATAACAGACCTGGTCTCTGTGTAACAGGCCTGGTCTCTATATATCTTGCCTGGTCACTGTTTAGCAGCCCTGGTCTCTGTATATAATGCTTGGGTTCTTTATAGTAGGCCTAATTTCTGCACTACAGTCCTGGTTGCTGTATAAGAGCCCCAGTTTCTAAAATAGGTCTGTTCTCTGTATAGTAGATCTGTTATGTATAACATGCATGGTCACTGTTTATCATGCCTCTTTGTGTATAACAGACCTGGTCTCTCTATAACAGGCCTCCTCTATACACAACAGGCCTAGTCCCTGTATAAAAAGTCTGGTCTCTGTACAGCAGGTCTGTTATCAGTATAACAGGCCTGGACTCTTACAACAGGCCTTGTCTCCTTATTACAGGCCTGGTCTCATTACAATAGGCCTTGTCTCTATGCATCGAGCCTTCTCTCTGTATTACAAGCCTGGTATCTGCATAACAGTCCTGGTCGGTGTATAACAGGCCTGGTCTCCATTTATCAAGCTTGGTGTCTGTGTAACAGGCCTCTTCTAGCTATACTAATAATAACCGTTGCATTTGATTCAGTACTGTATCACGTCTTCTCATGACATCTCAAATTGCTTAACATTTACTGCAAAATGAATTGATGGCATGTTATTTGGGGGAAATGCGGCACCAATTTCGTACAGCAGCATCCTTCAAAAAGTTGTGGATTGAGTGGCCACATTGTTATTTTAAATAAAATATCTTGAAGGTACAATTAGCCCCAAACACCAGCATAACTCAAAAAAATTTCAGATGCACACACACACAGCGGTATAACATGCACATGGAGCTGTTTGATATTCACAAAGAGTTAGTCAGAAAGGAAAATAGATTATCGGTTTCCGATTTCTGCACAGAATCATAGACTCACTGAAATTATTGGAAATCAATATTCTTACAAATCACAGACAACAAAATCAATCTACAGTTCCTTACTTGTAGCAGATACACTGGCACTATTATAAGTAAACTCACCTGCAAGTGTACAATACAATTCTCACCATTGTAACACAGTATCTCGCATATCTGCCGACAATGTTGAAAGCATCTGTACAACTTATTATACCGAGTGAAGTTGTTTCAACGATACATGATTTAAATTTTTGTCTTAGCAAATTTGATAAATAAAGTCTGGTATATCCGTCATCTGTGAATAGGTTTGAACTGTGGCGTGTTTAACTGATGGGATGTGTTAAAGGGAAACCATGAATCCTTGAAAAATCCTGCATGTGATGGGTAATGGAAATTTCCAATAGACAATTTGTTCCAGCCTGACTCGGTGGTATCAATCTCGCCTTTGAGTCAGCAGTTTGTTGGTTCAAGTCCCATATTGGTACATGGTTCACATTGTCGGAACTAAATTTCCAATGCAATGATGGATCTGTGTTACATTGTCGGAGTGGCCGTCCTTTGGATTAACCGTTCAACTGAGATCTGACTGTTTGTTAAGCTGGAAATTAAAGATCCCATGGCACTAAACTATTCCCAATGTGAGGCATCAACCCAGAACACACTGAATCAAAAACAAACCGGAGTGCTGCTGAGCTACTGAGCCAGAATGACACACCTATACTTGATTCCCATTCGGTATTATTCTTGCGACAAAGAGTAACAAATCTTTTCCAAAGCTGATAATAGATATTCTATTGTTTATTTATGGACTTGTACGACATAGGAATATTTGAACTATATTTATAATCACTGGGAATATTCAGATTAATTATGAATCCCAAAATTATTGTTAAATGAAATATATCTTGGCAAAATTGTAGTAAATAGAGTGACATGTTTCACTATTTGCACTTGAGTGGGATATTTCAACTGCATTTGTAATGACGGGTCTATTCAGATTGATTATGAGTTCATAAAACAATGTCGCAACAGATACATATTTAGAAAATTGTGATAAATAAAGCAACTTATTCCACTGTTGTGCTTTATCTGTCCAGAACGTTGTGCCGTGTTGAGTAATATAGAGTTACCTTGAGAGTTTCCCAGCCCTGCTGTTTTGTCGGCTTTTGAGAGCATTAAAATCATATAAGGAAGCCAATCTACCGTCTGCAATAGCTCGGGTGGCCACAGGGGAGCAGATCTTTCTGTCCTTCAAACTGAAAGAACAGCTGTTCCACTGCAAGAAAGGAAACTGGCAGATACTCTTTCTGCAAATTAATTTAATTGACGTGAAACGGGAAATAATTTTCATTTCGTTCATGTGAATTAATGCTGATGATTAAATTTGAAATTTCGTCGAGCACCACTGTGGTTACATAATTTATTGTATTAACGGTTATGTAAAATAAAATAGTTTTGCTTTTCTCAGAAATGTATCAGAACTTTGTGGAAGCCAATCCGCTATCTTAAAATATTCCACCCAAAATATACTGAACTACAAGACAAATATAGATAATTGTAGATTTTACTGAGATAGTTGATAGGAAGTGAAATGCCCAACATGAAACCACGGCTGAGGCAGATTCAAGAATAACAGCAAACACAACAACACTAACTTGGATTTATATAGCACCCTCCACCCCAGACGGCGTCTCAGAGCGCTTTACAGCAACGGATCCCGGGGCCGAGACATTGGGAGGGGGAGGAAGGTGACAAAAAGCATCCATCATCGAAGAAAGCCTTTCCTACAAGCACGACTGTCAATGCTTTAAATAGTTTGATCACAGCCACCTTGTGATCATATGCACCTTCATATCCCGAGGTGATCACAGCCACCAGGTAGCGGCTGATCATAGCCTACTTCTTAATTTTAAGGCGCTCGGCGGTCCTGCCCCATCTGACCTGTGCAATCTGCTCACACCCTACGAAATGATCCGCTTCCATCTTTTGCCTGCTTAATGTCCGCTGCCCTGCTTTGCTCAACTCACCGTTGGAAATTGGGCTTTCAGCCTCTCTGGCTAAAATTTATGCAACATCATCCCAGACAACTTTTGCCTCACAACTTCAATTGTTGTCTTTCAGGTCCAGCTGAAAACTGGCAATTATTTTCTCCACCCCTACAAATTCTAACCTCTAGCAAAGCACAAAACCTCGACTTTTCAGCGACTTGGGACGTACTCCAAACAGAAAAGATGCTGTAGAGAGGCAATCTGTGGTTGTTATCTATTTACTGAGCCGGGTATGTAGACGGTACTGCACAGCAGTGCTGTGACTGATAATCACATCTCATTGACAGGACGAGGGCAGACCAGTAACTGGTGTTGACACCAATTGGAAAAATCTGATATAAACTGTATGTAAACTCCCTGCTGCTTAAATAAAACCAAACTATTAATTTTCATATATCGAACAGCGACATAATCAATCTCAGAGACAGTTGGTTATTTATTAAAGAAACCTTTATATAGCGATGTGCATGTACAGAAAGTTAATGTTGCCAGTCAGATTTTATTGAGTTCTCTCTGGACGATATTCAACTTGAGTCCAGTCAGTGACAAACACATATACAGACTTTCCAATTAACCACTTTACAACACAATCAGCCGCGTTCCTCTTGACATTTATCCAACGAATAATATCTAACGAAATATTCCTTTCCTCCTAGACCACATCAGCAACAACAGGAGACAAGGTAGCTCTGCATTAATAATAACCCAGACCGCAAGTCATCTCCTACCACCATTCACACTATCTTCTTGTTTATTGTACACTGCTGCAAAATATCTGCTGTTACATTCCTTCTTTTCACAAATCTGGCTGAATAATCTCGGAAAATATAATCAATATAATCAAGGAAACGACACTAAGTTGTCAATGCAACCTGGCTGGAAAGCACAGGCAAAGGAAGATCATTAGCTGCAGAAACAACCATCTGTTCCACCTCAAAACATTTACAGATTTTGTAGCGGACTTTCACTTAAACAAAGCTATAAAAGCATAAATGTTAGATTACCTCGATTGTACAGACGCATTTAAAAGAATAATATTCAACTGAACAGAATAAAACGGAAACACATTAAAATGTTTACAACTATATATTTCATTTGAGCAAAGCTTATTGAAAGTGCATATATATTCCTATGATATATCATTGTAACGCCAAGCACAGATATCCAGGTAGCTTCAGTGGGATTGAACACACATTGCAATCCACGCAAAAAGAAATGTCCTAATTGTTCTGCTCAAATTAGCTGCCGCAATCACCCACAAATTTACAGTCACTACAATTAACAGTATATTATATAAAGCGTTTTGAGACATTCTCCGGGTACGATAGGCTCCATACCCAGGGTTAAAATTATCATCTGTTTATCAATATATTTGTGAAACGCTCAGTTGCAATGGATAGTTTAAGCAAGTAAGAGGAGGTTGGATATATACCTGGGAGCGAGTTGAATAGGACAGGGCATTATGTACAAGTTTATTCAGCTGTCTATATAATTTTCAGGAAATTCCGTGATGTGAAATGTGCTATGTGATTGTATAATTTTTGACATTGTACGTCTCCATCCATTTCCACCTGACCCCTCAATCCTTTACTCCCCAAGTCAAAATCCATTTCCCTCAGACATCCATTGATGTGCTAAGTATGATCATATAGAAAGAGCTGTTTCATCTTAAACCACTGCAAAGACATTTCATAAAATATGTTTGTTTGTCTACAAAATAAATCCCGATACTATGGTTTCACTAATTTGATGACTGATTCTTTGAAATAGCTCTGCAAAGATTAGCTTTCACGTTCATCCGAAAGATACCTTGTCTTTGAAAAGTAAATCTTGAAAGGTGCTTTGAGAAGTTTTCCTGATGTGAAGACTGCAACACCAAATGTGGGAATGGTTATTGTTATTATTGTCAGGTGCATTTAGCCACTCAGTCCTCAAGGGGCCGAATTCACCTCCTCCAGAATGGTAAAGGAGACACACAGAGAACTGGGAAGTGAGTGGCGCAATGTGTGTTAGTCAAAGGCAAAGGCAGGAAATATTATCAAGAGTAAGAGAAAGATTCTACGATCTGAGACTGAGGATAAGCTGAAGACGTGCTGGATTCTGAGAGCCACGAGGAGATCAGTGGAGACGTCAGGTCGTGTCTTCAATAACCCTTTCTTCACTGTTATCTTTCTTTATTGGCCGATATTGAATCACTAGCAGGAAAATAATTACCAGAGGCAATGTGATAACCACTATGAGGCGGGCGACGTTCACAATTCCCTGAGTAGTGAAGGTACCTATGAGAAAGACACAGATACAGCACTGGTCAGTGAATGAATCATGATTATTCCAGTGACGCATATTTTGTCAGCCGGGTGTCTTTATATTACGATGATGGGCTTTCTCTTGTGGACAGGATAAACACGACTGAAATGATTGCACTTTAGTAGAGAAGCACATACACTAAAGCCACTACCATTGCTGGATATTTCCGTGGTTCTATCTACGCCATTGACACAGGGGTATTTGACTGTGGTTGGAATAAAATGCAACGTGGAAGATTAAATCCTGTTTATCCAATCAAATGGAATACAACAACAACAACAACAAGATTTCACTTTTTGAGCGCCTTTGATATCTGGAGGTCGTCCCAAGGCGCTGGACAGTTGGGTCGGGATCCGAGCAGCCGGGAAATGGTCAGGATAACGGGAGGGAATGGAGGGAGCGAGGAAGGTGTAGAGAGTTGGGAGGGGAGCTGAAGGCACATTCGAAGAGAAGGGTCTTGTGACCGGCCTTGAAGGAGGAAAAGGAGAAAGCAAGTCGAAGACACTGGGGGATGGAGTTCCAGAGCCTCGGGACTGAGAGGCTGATGGCCCGGCCACCGATGGTCGGGCGGTTGGGGCGGGAGATGTGGAGGAGACCGGAGCCAGAGGGACGGAGGGTACGGGCAGGTAAGTAGGGGGATAGTAGGTTGGAGAGTTGGAGGGAGCAAGGCCGGAAATGGCCTTGTAGATGAGGATGAGGATCTTGAATTCGATCCTCTTGGTGATGGGAAGCCAGTGGAGGCGAGTAGGGTGGGAGTGGTGGGGGCGCGAAGCCTGGTGCGGGACAGTACACGAGCTGCAGAGTTCTGAATGACCTGCAGTGTGGAGGGAGGGCCGGGAAAGTCGGCGAGGAGAGAGTTCCCATAGTCCAGCCTTGAGGTGTTAAGGCATGGACCAGAGTTTCAGCTGCGTGAGGGTGAGGTAGGCTTCGGGACCACATCACTCCCACCCTCGCTCGCCTCCACTGGCTCCCCATCCCCCACAGGATTGATTTCAAGATCCTCATCCTCACCTACAAGGCCATTCACGGCCTTGCTCCCTCCTACCTCTCCAACCTACTATCCCCCTACCTACCTGCCCATACCCTCCGTTCCTCCGGCTCCGGTCTGCTCCATGTCCCCCGCCCCAATCGCCCTACCATTGGTGGTCGGGCCTTCAGCCTCTCAGCCCCGAGGCTCTGGAAATCTATCCCCCAGTGCCTTCGCCGCTTCCTCCCTCTCCTCCTTCAAGGCCGGTCTCAAAACCTTTCTCTTTGACCGAGCCTTCAGCTCCCCTCTCGACTCTCTTCCCCCTTCTCGCTCCCTCCCATCCCTCCCTCACCCTGACCATTTCCCCCTCCTCGCTCCCTCCCTTCCCTCCCCTCACCCTGACCATTTCCCCCCTGCTCGGGTCATGACCCAACTGTGCAGCGCCTTGGGACGTCCTCCTGACGTGAAAGGCACTTTATAAATGGAATCTTGTTGTAGTTGTTGTTGTTGCCGTAGTCTGGCGATATTCTGGACTATTACAACAACAACACCCTGCATTTATATCGTTCGCTTAACACAAGATAGCGCCTGGTAGCGGTACATAGAGAACCATTGTTTGCCAACCATGTCAGAGGGCGAGGGAAATGTGAAAATGGAAACAGTTAAAGAAGTAAACGAACAAATGACATGAAAGATAGATAAAGGGATGTTCAGGGGAAAGATTAAGGGGAGCACACCAGTGGATAGGGGACATAATGCTGTCATCTATTTCATAGAATCATAGAATAAGATATTTTTACAGAACAGAAGTAGACCATTTTTTTTCCTTTTAAAGTACCTATCTGGTTCCATTTTGAAAGCTATCGTCGAATCTGTTTCCATCACCCTTTATGCAGTGCATTACTACCAACACTCTGGATAAAAATATTTCTTCTCACCTCTGCTTCTTTTGTCAATTATTTTAAATCTCTGCTCTAAGGAGAACATTCCCAGCTTTTCCAGTCTCTCCGCATATGTAAGTCACTCGTTCCTGGTAACATCATGGTAAATGTCCTCACTACATTCTACAAGTCCTGAAGGCTTTAGCATGCTTCCTAAAGTGTGGTGCCAATAATTGGATTCGATGCTCTAGCTGAGAACTAACTAGCTATTTCTAAATGTTCAACAGAAGCTCCTTACTTTTATATTCTATGCCCCAATTTATCAAGTTTGTATCCTGTATTCTGCTTTTTAAAAGCCTCGCCAACCTGTGCTCCCACCGACAAAAATTTTGCTTATTTGCATGCCATGTCTCTCTATTCCTGCACCCATTTTTAACGGCAACATTTATTGTATATTGCCTATCCTCGTTCCTCTACTGAAAGTGCATCATTTCAAGCTGCTCTACATTAGCTTTTACCATGCTGTCTGCCCATTTCACCAGCCTCGCCATATCCTCCTGCAGGATACTGCAATCCTCTTCACTTTTTGCTACACTTCCAGATTTTGCGTCATCTGCGAACTTTAAAATGTTACCTCTATAGCCAAGAATAGATCATTAATGGATACCGAAAAGAACATTTGGAATAATACCGGCCACTGGGGGACACCACTATATAAGATTTTTCAGCCTGAAAACAATGCTTTACTACTCGTCACTGATTTCGGTCTTCAGACAATGTTACATCAATGTTACCTTATTTCCCTTAAACGCATGGCCTTCAATTTTGCTAATAAACACGTTTTTGGCACCTTATCAAACGCAATTTGAAAATCTAGGTAAACGACATCAACTGCACTTCCTTCATCAATTCTCACTGTTATTTGATTGAACAATTCAAAGTAATGTTAATATAGAATATATACAATCTTTAGGGTTGGGGGACGTGCTGGGAGAGGGGGAGAGGAATGTAGATGCAATATCAGAATCGAATACCGCCTGGTTGAACTCTACTCCGGTTCCTGAGCCAGAAAGGTTCGCATTATCCCAGGGCACTCACGGCTGATCGCCAGGACCTAGAAGGGCAGACCAGTTACTGCGAGTAGGCAATACTATCAGGCAGCTTCTCTTACCCCTACAGCCAAAGGACTAACTAACGGTAAGGGTGGTACTAGCCGGGCAAACAGTGTGAGTGCTTGCCAGATAGCGCTCGCTCTCAATAACACACTCTGTGGGTTTAGCTGGAAACGCTCAGACATTTGCCTCAACGCAAGCTCTGGAGTTTGGCTCTCACAGAGCCACATGCAACACCATCCGGGATTGATGGGCAGCAAGTCTCCCATCCTCCATGATACAAGAAGGCTCGGTGGGGGAGTGTGGGGAGCAAGGTGGGATAGGAGGCAGAGAGGGGTGAGAGAGGGTAATCCGCTCTTACCAGACAGAGAGATTCTCATTCCCTCGCTCTCTGGCGATGTTAACTCTCGGCCGTCTATGTGCGTAGTATATTTACATGAGTAATTTCCTGCAATGATCTCCGATGGGGTGAAAGTGGCCGTGTTGTTATTCTCTGGAGATGATTGTGAGATGATAAAGTCGCCGTTTCTGTATAAAGAGAAATTGCTGCCAGGATAACTCCCAGAACATGAGATTTCAACACTTTCCCCTCTCACAAACCCCCGGGAATCTGGCTTCATAGAAATGTTGGGTTTCTGGAGCGGATCTGGAATTAAAACACAGTAAAGGTAATCTCACAAACACTCGTTCTGATCTGTGCTGTGACAGTGAACATCAGGATCAACAATCAGCCCAGCTTCGGCCTGTGCGACTGTTATCCTGAGGTTTAATACGAAGCAGAAATTTGGCTGTTCTTAAACTGGATCTTGTTTCGCCGCTGGATTTGTGCTGGAATGAAACAAATTTCTATGATGTTGGGGTCAGTCTGAACTCGGGGACAGTGTGAACTCGGGGTCAATGTGAGCTCAGGGTTAGTGGGAGCTCGGGGTTAGTGGGAGCTCGGGGTCAGTGTGAGATCGGGGTCAGTGTGAGCTCGGGGTCAGTTTGAGTTCGGGGTCAGTGTGAGTTCGGGGTCAGTGTGAGCTCGGGGTCAGTGTGAGCTCGGGGTCAGTGTGAGCTCGGGGTCAGTGTGAGCTTGGGGTCAGTGTGAGCTCGGGTTCAATGGGAGCTCGGGGTCAGTGTAAGCTCGGGTTCAATGGGAGCTCGGGGTCAGTGTGAGCTCCGCTTCAGTGTGAGTTCGGGGTCAGGTGAGTTCGGGGTCAGTGTGAACTCGGGGTCAGTATGAGTTCAGGGTCAGTTTGAGCTCGAGGTCAGTGTGAGCTCGGGGTCAGTGTGAGCTCCGCTTCAGTGTGAGCTCTGGGTCAGTTTGAGCTCGAGGTCAGTTTGAGCTCGAGGTCAGTTTGAGCTCGAGGTCAGTTTGAGCTCGGGGTCAGTGTGAGCTCGGGGTCAGTGTGAGCTCGGGGTCAGTGTGAGCTCGGGGTCAGTGTGAGCTCCGCTTCAGTGTGAACTCGGGGTCAGTATGAGTTCAGGGTCAGTGTGAGCTCGAGGTCAGTGTGAGCTCGAGGTCAGTGTGAGCACCGCTTCAGTGTGAGCTCTGGGTCAGTTTGAGATCGGGGTCAGTTTGAGATCGGGGTCAGTGTGAGCTCGGGGTCAGTGTGAGCTTGGGGTCAGTGTGAGCTTGGGGTCAGTGTGAGCTCGGGGTCAGTGTGAGCTTGGGGTCAGTGTGAGCTTGGGGTCAGTGTGAGCTTGGGGTCAGTGTGAGCTTGGGGTCAGTGTGAGCTTGGGGTCAGTGTGAGCTCGGGGTCAGTGTGAGCTTGGGGTCAGTGTGAGCTTGGGGTCAGTGTGAGCTTGGGGTCAGTGTGAGCTCGGGGTCAGTGTGAGCTTGGGGTCAGTGTGAGCTTGGGGTCAGTGTGAGCTTGGGGTCAGTGTGAGCTCCGGGTCAGTTTGAGCTCGAGGTCAGTTTGAGCTCGAGGTCAGTTTGAGCTCGGGGTCAGTGTGAGCTCGGGGTCAGTGTGAGCTCGGGGTCAGTGTGAGCTTGGGGTCAGTGTGAGCTTGGGGTCAGTGTGAGCTTGGGGTCAGTGTGAGCTTGGGGTCAGTGTGAGCTTGGGGTCAGTGTGAGCTCGGGGTCAGTGTGAGCTCGGGGTCAGTGTGAGCTCGGGGTCAGTGTGAGCTCGGGGTCAGTGTGAGCTCGGGGTCAGTGTGAGCTCGGGGTCAGTGTGAGCTCGGGGTCAGTGTGAGCTCGGGGTCAGTGTGAGCTCGAGGTCAGTGTGAGCTCGGGGTCAGTGTGAGCTCGGGGTCAGTGTGAGCTTGGGGTCAGTGTGAGCTCGGGGTCAGTGTGAGCTCGGGGTCAGTGTGAGCTTGGGGTCAGTGTGAGCTTGGGGGTCAGTGTGAGCTTGGGGTCAGTGTGAGCTCGGGGTCAGTGTGAGCTCGGGTCAGTGCGAGCTGGGGGTCAGTGTGAGCTCGGGGTCAGTGTGAGCTTGGGGTCAGTGTGAGCTCGGGGTCAGTGTGAGCTCGGGGTCAGTGTGAGCTCGGGGTCAGTGTGAGCTCGGGGTCAGTGTGAGCTCGGGGTCAGTGTGAGCTCGGGGTCAGTGTGAGCTTGGGGTCAGTGTGAGCTCGGGGTCAGTGTGAGCTCGGGGTCAGTGTGAGCTCGGGGTCAGTGTGAGCTTGGGGTCAGTGTGAGCTTGGGGTCAGTGTGAGCTTGGGGTCAGTGTGAGCTCGGGGTCAGTGTGAGCTCGGGGTCAGTGTGAGCTTGGGGTCAGTGTGGGGCCGGGGTTCCTTTTCCCTTGTCCGCCAGGTCATGTCGAGATTACGGATTCAAAAGCAGAAGCAAATTTCTCCTGGTGACCTGGTGGACACTTCCCCAAATAAAATTAATCATTCGCTTCTCGTGATCTTTTCTGTTCTCAAACTACTATCGTTATTATTGTTCTCCGTTTTGAAGATCTCCCCCGACAGGGAATCTTCTGGTGTCGGGGAAACTCACACCCAACTCATTGGGACGTTTTCCTCACGTGAGCGGCTCTCGTCACGTGTTATTGGTGTAACCCAACTGTACAGCGCCTCGGGACGTCCTCCCGACGTGAAAGGCGCTCAATAAATGGAATCTTGTTGTTGTTGTTGTTGTAATGACTCGGGTAACGTCACTGTGCTCATCCCCTCCCCCTGTGCTCAGACCTTTGTGCTCACAACCCAAGGCTCACCCTCCCCTCCGTGTTCACCTATCCTGTGCACAAAGTCACTCACGCCCCTCTGATTACCCACCGCCTACACTCAGATTGACTCACATCTGCTCACCCCTCTGTGTTTAAACGTATCCCCTGAACTCACACTCATTCCCCTGTGCTCAACACCTTGTGTTCACACCCACCCCCTATTATCACACTCACATACCTGTATTCGCTCCCCCTGTGTACAACCCACTCGGTTTTTACTCGCCCCCTTTGCCAGCCATATTTGCTGATAATTACACTGTTGTGCTCAACCCCTGTGACCACACTGACCTCGCTGTGCTCTTTTTCCCACTCTTACTCCCCTGTGCTCACATCCCCCAACACCCGGAAGCTGTGCGAAGGCCCGTTGTTGTTGTCTTCAGTACCTGAACAGAATATCCCACCGTCCTGTACGTGTCCGCAGTCAGGCCAACCAACCACAGGCCCCGATCCTTTTCCAAAGCGAGCGTCACCTGAGGCTGATACAGCAAATCCACATTCCAAATATTTACAAATATATCCTGCCATCTCCATGTTCAGGGTCTCGCCACAAAGTGTTCCCCAAGTGTCATTGGTGTACATCTCTACTCTCCCCACACAGCGATTGCCTCCATTCACCAGTCTGGGTGGTTTACTTCCTGCCAATTACATACAATACATTACCTTCAGCCACAATTTCAAACACATCTACAATTAGCACACAATATACCATCAGAAACTGCTGTCGTGTGACCCTCGGTTAACACAGGAGTCCTGCTCATCCAGTGTTCCCATCCCCTCCTCGGCTCACCGCAATCCGCCCTCATGTGCTCACACTCCCATAACGTGTGTTCACGCCGCCTCGCCCAATGCTCACCTACTCTGCGTTACCTTCCAGTCCCAATGCCCACAACTCCGGCCTCATTACGCTGTTCTCACACCCCCAACCAGAGCTCGCAAACTCTGCGCTCTACCACAACCGTGCTCACCCCGCCTTCTGTTTAAAGCCTATGCTCATACACCACTTGCCCAACTGCTCCCCGTCGTCACCCGCCCCCACGATCACCTGCCCCGTGTTCACCGAGCACGTTTTCAACCACGATACGTTCACCAACTTTTTTCTCACCACCTCTCTTCTCATTACACCTTCGCTCAACCACCATCGAACAGCACCTCCACCGCCCCCAACCCAATCTAACACTCCTTGTATTCCCAACTGTGCAACGCTTTTTTGCTTAACCCTTGGTGCTAACCCCCCTTGTGCTCAAAGTGGGCTGTGCTCACCAGCTCCTAGATTCGCCCCCCCCCAACCGTGTTATCATAATATGAATAATCGTTGCATGTTATATAGCGCTTTACACGTCTTCTGGGCGTCTCAAATAACTTCACAGAATGTACTGTAAAGTAACTTCACTGCATATTTTTCTGTGGGCGAAACGCGGCAGCCAATTACGCAAAGCAGTGTCCCACAAACATCCGCGTAATGAAGTGAAGTGACCATTCTTTATTGTATTTTTTTCTTGAGGGACTATTATTTTGCTTGTGGAGCAAAGAAATTTGAACAAGGTTTCGCTCTGCTGGGAATCGAACCAAGGTTCCTCGCTTGCCATCCGAGTGCTCTAACCAGTGAGCTACATGACTCCTGTAAACCCTGTGCTCTCCGCCTCCCTCGTGCTGACCACCCTTTTGCACCTCACCACCCCCCATCTGTTGCTCAACCTACCTATTGTTCACAACCATTTGCCCCAATCCCGCTGAGCTCACCCGCGCAACCTGTGCTCAACCCGCCTGTGCTCACCTGCTTTCTAACACACTGTGCTCACTCCCTGTTCTGAACCAACACTTTGTTCCCCTGTGCTCCCCTCTGTTTCCATCCCCACTGTGCTCACCCCACCCTGTGCTCTTCCCCTGCGCTCATTCCCTGTTCTCATCATCTGTTCTGGTAACCACTATTTCTGACCCCCCATTTCTGACATCCACCCGTCTTCCCCTTGTGCTCACCCCCCCCTGTTCTCAGACAGCTGTGCTGATCCCTGTTTTCGCTCCTGCACTGCGCTTATTCCCTTGTGCTCAACCTCCACTTTACTGACCTCACCCAACTATTGCACATCCTCCTGTCATCTCACCCTGTTCTCAATCCCTGTTCACACTCCCCCTGTTTTTACCCCTACTGTCGGGGAGCGGCAGCAGGAGAGCGCGGGGAGGAGCCTGGGCCTACTGACCCAGGTACTTAAACTCGACGCCGGAGCGAGTGCAGCTCGGCAGGGGAGGGGAGGGAGGTGTGGGGGCGGAGCGGGGGAACTGCGACGTCATAGATTAGTTTTCAGGTGAGTGCGCGCGCACAAAAAAAAAAAAAAAACAACAAAAAAAAAACCCTCTGCGCCCCCCCCCCCAGGGCTCACATCAGAGCCCACTATGGTCCTGTTGGGTTCGATGCCCCAATCTGCGGGATAATGCCATCCACCTGACCGCTCGCTCCCGGTCCCCGCGTGCGCACTATGGCTGCCGCTTTGACCCGAGCCCCCTCACCCCCTCCCTCCCTCCCCCCTCCTCTCTCCCCCCAAACCCTCCCCCCTCTGCATCTCTCCCGCTCTCTCCTCCTCTCTCTCCGTCCCTCTCGTCTTCTATCCCCACTTGACCCTCCCACAACCTCCCTCTGTTCCAGTCTGGGAATCCTCCGCCGGGCTCACCGTGGCACTCGGCGTTGGCTGTCCAGCAGCAGCCACACCGACTGCCCCATTCCCCACCACTCTCGCCAGCCACCCCGGACACAGACCCGGGGAGTCAACCTCTCCTCCCTCATCCCCATCTCCCCCACCCCTGCCTCACAACCTGGACCCCCCTCCCCTCCCACACACCCTTCTGTCAACCGCTCCCTCCACATCGGACTGCAAAATGTCCGCTCCCTCTGCAACAAGGCCCTGGTCATCAACGATCTCATCCTTGATGAGAACGTTGATATCATGGCCTTGACAGAAACGTGGCTCACCCCAGGCGACACCTTCCCCCTCACGGAGGCCACGCCACCCGGCTACACCTCCCACCACATCCCCCGCCCCAACCGCCGTGGCGGTGGTGTTGCCCTTATCTCAAGGACACCACTTGCCCTATCCCCCTACTCCACTGGCTCTTTCCCCTCCTTCGAGCACCTCACCCTCTCCCACCCCTCATTCCTCTCCCTTAAAATCCTCCTCCTCTACCGGCCCCCTAAAACCTCTCCCACCTTCATCTCTGACATTTCAACACTCCTCACATCTCTTTGCCTCTGCTCCGATCGCCTCATCATCCTGGGCGACTTTAACCTACACTTCACCCCCTCCTGCTCCATCTCCACAGACTTCTCTTCCCTGCTCTCCTCACTCAACCTTTCCCTACACATAAACTCCCCCACTCACAGTCACGGCCACCCACTCGATTTGGTGATCACCCGGGGCCTCAGTGTCTCGGATGTCACTATTACCGACAAGGCCATCTCCGACCACTACTTCATCTCCTTCACCACCTCCACCCCCCTCCCCACCTCCACCAGACCCACCACCATCTTCTACCGCCCTTGGAAGAAGTTACCCCCACAATCCCTAACCGATGCCTTGGAGTCCTCTGAACTCCTCTCCCTCTGGCCTTCAACCCTCACCGACCCCTCTTCTCCTCTCTCCCTCCTCCACAATATCCTCTCCTCCACACTCGATACTCTTGCCCCCATCACTTCCCGCACTGTCTCCTACTCCCGCTCCTCCCCCTGGTACACCACCCACCTCCGCTCACTGAAATGCCAGGTGCGGGCTGCTGAGCGCACCTTTGTCAAATCCGGCTTAACGGTCCACCGACAAATCTGGCTGGACCTCCTCAAAATTTACCGCTCCACTCTAGCCTCGGCCAAGTCGTCCTTCTACTCCAGGATAATCCTGGAGGCGAAGAACAACCCCAGGCTACTGTTTTCCACCACATCCCGACTCCTCCGTCCCCCCGCCACCCCGCGCAGGTCATCTCCTCCAACCTTCACTGCGAGGAGATGCTGGATTTCCTTGAATCCAAGATCAAGGGAATCCGCTCCGCGGTCACTTCCCCTCCAACTTCCACCCACCACCCACCCCTTCCCTCCCACACTCCGACTCCTACCCATCCTCCCCTACACACCTTCGTACCCGTTTCCCCACCCTCTGTCACTGAACTCATCCTATCCCTAAAACCAACCACCTGCTCCCTTGACCCCATCCCCACTCCACTCCTTATCTCCCAGCTCCATTTTCTTGCCCCACACATCACTGACATCATAAACCTGTCCCTCTCCTCTGGCTCTGTCCCCATTCCATTAAAAACTGCCATCATCACGCCCACCCTGAAAAAACCCTCCCTTGATGCGTCGCAGCTATCAAGCTACCGGCCCATCTCCAACCTCCCCTTTCTCTCCAAGGTCTTGGAAAGAGTTGTCGCCTCCCAACTGCGCTCTTTCCTCTCCACCCATTCTCTTTTTGAACCCCTTCAGTCAGGTTTCCGTGCTGCTCATAGCACAGAAACTGCCCTGGTCAAGGTCACCAATGATATCCTGACCATCTGTGACCAGGGCTCCCTCTGTCTCCTCGTCCTCCTCGACCTATCGGCAGCATTCGATACGGTCGACCACGCTATCCTACTCCACCGCTTGTCCTCCCACCTCAACCTTCAAGGCACTGTCCTTGAATGGTTTAGGTCGTACCTTTCTCACCGTCTTCACTTCGTCTCAACGAATGGCTTCTCCTCCACCCCCCGTACTGTCTCATGTGGTGTCCCTCAGGGCTCTGTCCTCGGTCCCCTCCTCTTCACCCTCTATATGCTCCCCCTTGGTGACATCATCCGCAAACATGGGGTTAACTTCCACATGTATGCGGATGACACCCAACTCTACCTTTCCTCCTCTACTCTCAACTCCACGACCACCGATGTCCTGACAGCCTGCCTGTCCGACATCGAGTCCTGGACGAGAGACAACTTTCTTCAGCTCAACGTGCGAAAAACCGAGGCCCTCCTGATTGGCTCACGTCAGCGCCTCCGCACCTCAGGCGCTGACACCATCAGCATCCAAGGCTGCACTCTCCACCTCTCAAAGCCAGTCAGGAACCTCGGCGTTTTGTTCGACCCTGAGCTGTCCTTTCTCCCTCACATCCGCACCACAACTGGCACCGCCTTCCATCACCTCCGGAATATCGCCAGATTACGGCACTACCTCACCCCTCACGCTGCTGAAACCCTGGTTCACGCCTTTGTCACCTCAAGGCTGGACTATGGGAACTCTCTCCTCGCCGGCCTTCCCGCCACCTCCCTCCACAAGCTGCAGGTCATTCAGAACTCTGCAGCTCGTGTACTGTCCCGCACCAGGCTTCGGGACCACATCACTCCCACCCTCGCTCGCCTCCACTGGCTCCCCATCCCCCAGAGGATTGATTTCAAGATCCTCATCCTCACCTACAAGGCCATTCACGGCCTTGCTCCCTCCTACCTCTCCAACCTACTATCCCCCTACCTACCTGCCCGTACCCTCCGTTCCTCTGGCTCCGGTCTGCTCCACGTCCCCCGCCCCAACCGCCCTACTATCGGTGGTCGGGCCTTCAGCCTCTCAGCCCCGAGGCTCTGGAACTCCATCCCCCAGTGCCTTCGCCTTGCTTCCTCCCTTTCCTCCTTCAAGGCCGGTCTCAAAACCTTTCTCTTTGACCGTGCCTTCAGCTCCCCTCTCGACTCTCTTCCTCCTCCTCGCTCCCTCCCTTCCCTCCCCTCACCCTGACCATTTCCCCCTCCTCTCTCCCTCCCTTCCCTCCCCTCACCCTGACCATTTCCCCCCTGCTCGGGTCATGACCCAACTGTGCAGCGCCTTGGGACGTCCTCCTGACGTGAAAGGCGCTCTATAAATGGAATCTTGTTGTTGTTGTTGTTGTTGTACTGTGCTCACACCTTTTCTCAACCCCACTGTACTCACCTTCACTTCGCTAACCCGCCACTGTGCTCATTCCCTGTGCTCAGCCACATGCGCTCACCCCTTCTTTTCACCCACTGTTCTCAGCCCATAAGTGCTCATTCTGTGCTATTATCCACTGTTCTCACCCTCTGTGCTCATCCGTAGTTCTCACCCAGTACTTTGCTCCCCTGTGCTCAACCCGGTGTGCTCACCTCTCTGTTCGCACCTTCACCTGAGCTTCCCCACTCCTATGTTGGGCTACCGGTGCTCAAAGCCTGTCATCACCGTGCAATGTGCTTACTCCCCATTGCTGACAACAGCTCCATTGCTGACCTTTCTTCGTACACCTCTGCTCACACCCTGTGCTCATCCATCTTTGCTCAACTCCGGTTTTGCTACACACATTGTGCTCCATCCCACTGTATACAGCCCGCTGAGTTTACACCCTGCTCCCAACCAGCACGGTGTTCCCCTGTGCTCACTCTCCTTCTCTCATCCCCCTGTGCTCACCACCTTTTGCTCAGACCGTTGTGCTCACTCCCTGTTCCCAATCAGCACTACGCTCAACCCCCATTGCTGACACACCAGTGCTGAACACACTGTACTCACCCATTTTTCTCTCTAAGCTTTGTTCACCCTTCTTTGCTCATCACCCCTGTTCCCACTTCAACTGGTCTCAGCACGCTCTGCTCAGAAACCCGTGCACATCCCACAGAGCGCTCAAACACCCTGTAGTGACAAATCTGTGCTCAATCCATTGTGCTCACACTTACTGTTTTCCCTCCCTTGTTCTCAACCCCCTGTTCTCATCCCCCTTTACTCCTTGATTGCAGCCCCTCGTTATGAACACACCACTGTGCTCACTTACCTCTGCTCACTCCACGCTGTTCTTTCCTCGCCTGTGCTTCCCAGCCCCGAGCTCACTCCACACGGATTACACATCCTGAGCTCCAACCTCTACTCATTCCCGCCCTATTGCTCTCAGTTTCCTCCGCGCGTTGTTACACCACCACTGTGCCAGCGCCACCTTGAAATACCCATCCAATTGTGCTCGCCGCCTGTGCTTACGCTCATCCACCACTGGATGTTCAGCCCCACTGTGCTTTTCCCCGAGGGCTCACACTCCCATGTGCACCCACTTTCCTCACCCCTTGTGCTCCCTCTTCTGCTGACAACAGCGGTGAACAATATCTTCATACTCATCCGCCCTGTGATCAATCCAATATGCTACCCTCCTCCCCCGTGTGGAACAATATATTTTCAGTCCGCTGTCGTCACCCAACTGCGCTCAACATCCTGTTTTCACTCCGTTTTGCTCAACGCAGCTCCAGGTGCGTACCCAGCTGTGCTCACCCCAGTGCTCCCCCTGAGCCTCCGCCCCCTGTGCTGAAGCGGCCTGTGTTCACCCCCTACACTGTGCTCACCTCTTCCCCTGTGCTCTCCCGCTGCGTTCAATCATATGCTCACACCCCGACTGTGCTCAAACCCACACCGCGCCCCGCTAACCCCTGCGAGAACGAGTTGATCATCAGAGTTACTTACCTGAGCAGATGACGCCGACATCGAAGGAGTGTGACCAGTAATTGTGACCCCAGGCCCCTGAAGGACAAGATCGCAGAGCAGACTCGAACCCTCTGCATTGAACATTATACGCCACAACACAGCCTGATCCTTTGCCAAAGTAAGCGCCTCTGGGGGCTGAGAGCGCTTTTCCACAGCTCAGCTCCTTACACACAACAGCCGCTGCCTTCATATTCCAACCGCCAAAGCCATCCACTGTGCCCCATTCTCCTCTGTGGTAAAGCTCTACTCTCCCGGCACACGGGCTGTTGCCATTCACCAGCCTCACATTCACACTCTCTGCAAAACATCACATACAGTAGTAAGATTCTAGTTCCTGTATAACTTCCAGTCACCCAGGATAATCCGATGCGTTATGCAGCGAAGACCTATCACAGAGCCTCCCCGTCACCCTCAAACAGGCACAATCCCATGTCACCAGCCAAAACACACCAATGCATTGCGCCTCCCAAAAGGGCACAGCCACCAACCAAAGCATAGCTATCACCAGTATAGAGTTCGGAAACCCAAGGGGTATACCGGTTTCCCCCCAAGTTACAGACACACCAGGAAGAGCACCCTCTCCCAAGGCACGGCATCCCACGGCACGACCACTCACACAGCTCAGAAAGCCACATGGCACAGCGCCAACCAGGCACAGCCACCTCTAAGCACACGCTCCAACCGCTTGGCACATCTCTCCCACCAGAGCAGAGCCCACAACGTATAGGAGCCCCAGTCACTACAAAGCGCATCAACGGAGAACAACCCCATTCAGGCACAGATCCGCACCAACACAGCCCTCACCCCCAGTGCATAAACAAACCGCCCCACTGCGCAGTGCACACGCATGGCCACTTCACAGCAACCCACCTCTGCATTGCCCAGCCACCCCCACCCCACGCCCCTAACTCCCTTCAGGGCGCAAACCCCCACAGGTCACAGCCCCACCTCAAGTGCAGTGCATTGCCTAGCAGTCCGAGCCACCTAAGCACAGATCCTGCAGAGGGCAAACCCCCCACTAGCAGCACCCATTCCAAGGGCCCAGACCACTACAGGGCACAGGAACCCTCTCTAGCACATACCCTCCCGAGGGCACGTCCCACTACCAGGCAAAGCCCGTCTGCACATTGCACAGCCCCTCACGCCCAGGCAAAGCCCCACCGAGGAGGGCACATATGCCGTTAGGCATCGCCCCCAACCACCTCCCCATCCCCCGGATGTAGCATCCCCTGGGGCGCAGCTCTAATCTCTAATTTCCAACAAAATTCCCTCAGTCTCCCCCTGAGTTTCTAGAGCATCCTATCATGTGACAACTTTTCAAAACGCTTCTGTAAACCCAGACGCACAGCGGCCACAATTACAACTTGCATTTGCACAGCGCCCCTCACACAGGATAGCGTTCCAAAGCGCTTGTCAAAGACGGAGAACGACTCCGAGTTGCGGGTTGAGGAGGTGACTTTAGGCACGGTCGAATAGGAAGGTCTTCAGGCGCCACCTGGGAATTGGGCAAGGCGGAGGGATAGATTAAGATACTTTCAGGGTATCGGGGTGTAGTGCCTGAAAGCGCGGTCACCAGGAGGGACAAGGGTAAGGTTGGAAACAGAATGTTAAATTGGCCTGTGGATTGGGTAATGGTTTCTCCTCCTGATTCCCAGATGGTGAAGCGAGGCCGAGTCTCACTCTCAGCAGCTAATGTTCCCACAGCAGCTTCTGGAGTCACTCACCTGCACATTCCCCCGTCTTTCCCTCCAGAAATATCACTGCGGAATAACAGAAGCAAGATCAAAGCAGTAATTATTAATACAGTGATTCACTCAATCAGGAAAACCATCTGTCCGGTCTATTACACCATAAGCGGTCGGTTCTCAACTACAAGGCAGCCATGTAAGATCATCAACATAAAAGGCTCGAGAGAGGGAGAGAGCACAGTCACCGACACTATGCGGAGAGCAGGTGGTTTGGGAATGAACACAAACCCTTTCACAGACAAATACACACACCAATTGGCCGAACAATCATTTTCTGTGTGAGCACTGTATGTGTCTGTGTTTCTGATTCGCTTCTCGAAGAGGATAGAGTTTGGTGACGGCACATAAACAGAAACACCTCTCCTCCACCTCAACTCTCCCTACTGTCATGTGCTCTCCCGTCTCCATATTCTCTCTACTCCATATTCTCGCTTCTCCTTTCCACTCCTACCCTCTCTCCTCTCATGTCTCCTTTCGCCTCTTTCTCCTCTCCGCTCCTGTCTCTTTTCCACCCTATCTACTCTCCTCCTTCTCCCCTATCCCCCCTCTCTCCTCAAATAACCGCTCTCCCATACTCCTCACTCTCTTCTCGTCTCCCACATCTCCGCTCTTCCAACTTCTCCTCTCTTCACACCTCTCCTCTCCTCCCTGTTCTCTCCCTACTCCATTCTCTCCTCTCTCTGCTCCTCCGCTCTCTCCTCCACGTCTTTCTCTTCCCCGCCCCTCTCTCTTCTCCTTCCCTCACTGCTTTCTGCCTTCTCTCCTCTATCCCTTTACTTCTCCTACCCTCTCTCCTCTTCTGCCTCTCCTCTCTCCACTCCTCCCTTTTCGCTCTCCCCTTTCTATCCTCTCCTGCATTCTCTCGTCTTCTCTCCTCTCTCCTCCCCATCTCTCTCTTCTCCGCGCCTCTCTCTTCTCCTTCCCTCACTGCTCTTCTGCCCTCCATCCTCTATCCCTTTTCTTCTCCTACCCTCTCTCCTCTCCTTCCACCTCTCCTCTCCCCTCTCCCCCTTTCCCCTCTCCTCCCCTCTTTCCTCTCGAAATTTCTTTTCTCCGACCCTCTCTCTTCTCCTTCCCTAACTCCTCTCTTCCCCTCTGTCCTCTATCCTTTTGCTGCTCCTATCCTCCCAGCTCTTGTCTCCCCTCTCCCCTCCCCCCATTCCCTTCTCCCCCCTTTCCCCTTTCCTACCCTTTTTCCTCCCCTCTCTCCTCTCCTCCCCCCTCTCCTCTCCTCCCCTCTCTGATCTCCGCCTTCTCCTCGCCCTCTCCTCCTCTCCTCTCCTCAACTCTCTCCTCCCCCGCCTCACATTTCTCCTCCCTTCTCTCCTGTATCCTCGCTCGCCGCCTGTCTGCTCCCTTCTCTCCTCTATGAAATGCTCTCCCATTTAAACTCTCCCATTTGTTCACTCTCCTCTCCCCCCATCTCCCATTTCCTCTATCGTCTCCTCCTCTCTATCTCTCCTGACCGATCTCTCCTCTCTCCTATCGCATTTCTCCTCTCCTATTTAATCTATCATCTGCCCCCTCTACTCTCCACTGCTCTCCCCTCTCCCATCTATTCTCCCTCCTCTCCCATTTCTGCTCCCTCTTCCCCCTTCTCTGCTGTTCAGTCCCCTCTCTCCTCCTCAAGCTTTCCTCTCTCTCATCTCTCACCTACTCACTTTCCTCTCGTCTGCCCTTTCTTCTCTCCCCTCTCACTGTTTACTTTCTTCTCTCCAGAACCGGGAACAGAACACCAAATTACAGGGATACGGCGCTTTTCGCTTCTCGAGAACGTCCCAGGAGCGAGGAGGTCAGGGATCTGACGATGAGGGTCTTGAGAGGTTCCCGCAACACATCAGTGCTGACCTGACTCCATTTGCTGCCCATCAACGAACGGGTCGACTTCAACGAAGCCTTGGTCGGAATAGGACACGGACTGCCGATTTCTGGATGATCTCCAGCCGATGGAGGGAGGAGTTGTGAAATACGAATAGCAGGGAGATTACTCAGTGGCGGAGACCGGCAACGTTGCAGAGCCCGGGAAAGGCGGAGCGGGTCATGGCACATATGTTTGGATGAAGGACAATTGAGGGTCAAATAGGACGCGAGTGTCATCTCGGTGATTGAGTTGGAAGCAATACTCACCGAGTAGCAAAACAACAAATGTCTTCATCCTGAGTAAGAGGAGGAGCTGGCGAGGTTCAAAGGCTCGAGGGCTGTGTCTGTTTCGAAGTTTTGGGTGATTCTCCGCAGACTTGGAGATAAATCACACGAAGAAGATCTCAGGATCAAATTTTGCTGCGATCACTGATGTCTGTGATCCACAAATACCAACTTCCCTATAACGCACAGACTCTGAGACTCTCTCCCGCCCTCTCTCACTCCGTTGACCACAGGAAAGCAGCGCAGCTCATGATGTCTTTTACTCGAACTACAATATGCCGGTCATCCACACCTCTGCTAAGTGTGATTCTAAATTTGTTGTTTTTTGTGAATATTGTGAGCCATAATGTGGAGTACGGCGCGTGGGTTGGGGTTTCTGAGCTGGACTAACAGTGGCAGCTCACCAGTGTCCAGAGGATGCAAACTGTGCAGTTTTAGTGCATTAAGTTGAAGCAAAGACACTCAACTCAAAGAAGGATATCAAGTTCTTGCGGAGGGTGCAGATGAAATTCACCAATTATGATAACAGGGTCGATGGTCTACAGTTATGTGGAGAAACTAGGGAAACTAGGATTATTTTCCTTAGAGCAGAGAAGTTTAAGGGGGTATTTAGTAGATTAGTGATCAAAATTACAAGTGGTTTTGAAAGAGTAGATAGGGAGTATATATTTCCACTGGCGGGCGAGTTCGTAAACAGAGGACACAGATTCAAGATAATTGGCAAAAGAATCAGAGGGGAAACCACACAAGGAGAATTCTTTTCACACAGAAAGTTGTTACGGTCTGCAACGCATTGTCTGAAAGGATGGTGGAAACAGATTCAAGAACAACTTTTAAAGCGAAATGAGATTGGTAACTGAAAAGGGAATTGGATGGAGACTTAGGTAGTCAGCGGATGTATTTGGTTGATTCAAGATGAAACATTTGCAAGTATATGGCGAAAGAGTGGGGGTGTAGGACTGATTGTGTAGCTCTTTCAAAGAGCTGACACCAGCGCGATGGGCCGAACGGCATTTTTCTGTGCTACAAGACTCTAAGTTTCTCTAACTCTCACACCCGGTGTAGCTCACGCAAACGGACCACAACACACATACCACCATACACAGTAGGTCACAAAACATACATCAAATTTAATTCACATCATATACTGTAAATGTGCTTTGAGACTTTTCAATGACGTGAAAAACGATGGATGAAATACAAGTATTATTACTGTTATTTGTACCACTGTGACTAATATCATTATTATCACACAGACCTCCACGAGTGTCTTCGACCGTGAACTCCTAAACCCCGAGCCTCATTCGAAACAGCTTCAAATCCCCAGACACCCCTAACCTCAACCATCTTGCTAACTCTAATCCTGATACAGACAGTCTCGCTAAACCTGACCCTCACACTTTCCCTGTCCCTTACGCTGACCCTAAATCCTAAAGTTACTCTAAACCTGACCCTAACCTTGAGCATCACCAGACAACCCCTCACCTCAGCTTCCAATTTTTTGGTGGAAAATAACAAAACAAGTAAAACTAAAACCAGACAAAATATGAGAAGCTGAAATTGGAACAGGGGATTAGGTACAACAACAACAATAGATTAGATTTATAAAGCGCTCTCCACGCCGAACAGCGTCTCAGAGCGCTACGAGGGTTTGAGCTGTGAAAACGGATCACTGCAGTTTCCCGTAAATACAGAATTTTTTACATTGTCCTTATCAAAGCTTATCAATAAGCTTGACAGACTGCCCAAAAGCAAACACAAGTCGCTTGTCCGTTTGTCATTCTGTCTGTATGTCTCTTTTTCTTTCTCCCTATCAGTCTCCATCTCTCTCTAACTCTCTGCCTCACACACTGTGACTCTCACAATCTCAGTGTCTCTGATTCTCTCTTTCTGTCACTAACCCTGTCTCGCACTCTCGATTTCTCTCACTGTCACACACTTTATCTGTAACACACTCTCCATATCTGTTACGCACACAAACTGCATCCCTCAAATCCTCTTTCTTACGAACACAATGTGTCTCTCAAACCCTCTCCATCTCTTTTTCGCACACACTGTGTCTGTCTCTCAGTCTCTCTCTCACCCACATTGTGTCTCTCACACAATGAGTCTGTCTCTATCTCTCTGTCACAAGCTTTGTCTCTCACACTCTCAGTCTCTCTCGCGTCCTGTCACAAATTGTGTCTCTTACACACTCAGTCACTCTCTCACACTCGCTGCGTCTCGCACACTCCGATTCTCCGTCTATCTGTCGCACAATGTGTCCCACAGACTCTCAGTCTATCTTCCATATGCTGTCTTTCACAATCAGCCTCGCTCTCTCTCTCTCATTCTCTCTCTCTCACACACACACTCACAATCTCTCTCTCACTCTCTCACACACCCAATCTCCCTCCATCTCTTTCACTCCCCCCCTCTCTCTTCCTCTCTCTCTCCATCTCTCTCTCGCTCCCTCAGTCTCCCTCGCTCCCTATGTATCGCTCACAAGACGAGCGTTTGAAATAGTTGACAAAATAAAAAAATTATTGACAAGCGTTTGTCTCTTTTTTCTCTGGCAAATACTTTGAGCTGATGGTAGACATTCTGTTACTAATGTACACGTTGGTGCTCAAGAGGGATATTTAAACTGTATTGCTAATGACTGGGACTTTTCTGACATTAAATAAGAGTTCAGCTAAATGCTGTGATATTGCACCTGTAAGCCTTGTTAAATTAAATATATATTTGCTAATCGTGGAAAATAAAGCAACAGTTGTCCACTTCTGTGCTTTATCTGTCCAGGCCTCTGTGTTGCTTTGAGTGTGGACAATAAAGAATTAACTTGAGAGTTTCCCAGCCTTGCTGTCTTGTCGGCTTTTCAGGACATTACAATCAGATAAGAAAGCCGGTCTCCAGCCTACAATACCACGGTTGACCACTTACAGAGTCAATATTTCTGTCTTTCAACCTGCGTGTTTAACTCAGTATAATACAACTGACATTTTTATAGCGCCTTTCACATCAGAAGTTCTGCTGTTTGAGCAAATGAACGTAATTCATGTGAATCTTGATGGTAACATTTTACACTATCAACCTCTCTTATCCACCCGGTTTCTCTCACACTCTCTATCTCACATCTCCAACACTGTGTAGCTCACACTCTCAGTCTCCCTATCTTCACCTTTTCTCTGAAAAACTGAGTCTCCCTTCATCTGATGTTCTCAAAATCTCTGTCACTGTGATTCCCACACTCTCAATCTCTCTACATCTGTGCCTCTCAAAGTCTCTGTGTCTCACACACTTTGTCTCTCACACTGTGTTTGTCTCTCACACTCCCAAACGCACAATCACACTCTCTCACTCTCACTCTCTCTCTCCCTATTTCCCCCCACACTGTCTTACAAACTGTGTCTATCTCAATCTTAATCTCTCTCAATCTTAGTATTTTTTCTCTCTCTCTGTATGTAGATCGCTCCTTCTGACTAACTCAGGCACTAAGATGAGATGATAAATTGAGGTTCAATATGTGCCACGTTGAAGACAAATTTGAAGTTTCCGAGACGTGATTTGGAAACGAGTTAGAAATGTCTCCAAATGTTATATTACAGACGAGCTCAGTTTAACTTTATAAAAGGGATAATATTGGACATGGTGTCAAATGGCAAAGCTGATTGTGTAGCTGAACCACTGCCATGGTGTGAGCTTAGCAACTTTACCGATATAAAGTGGAGTCCTGTAGCTCAGTGGTTAGAGCACTCGCTTTGCAAGTGAGAGACCTGAGTTCAATTCCAGGCAGAGGGCGAAACCTTGGGCAAGTTTCCTTACTCCACACAGAGCCTAATAATAATCCTCCAAAACCCAAAACAATAATAAATTGGTCATTTTCAATCCACGACTGTTTGTGGGACATTGCTGTGCGCAATTGGCTGCCGCGTTCGCCCACAAATATACAGTTAATTCACTTTACAGTGTGTTCTGTGAAGCGCTTTGGGATGTCCTCCCGACGTGAAAAGCGCTATATCAAATGCAAGGATTATTATTATTATTATTATTATTATTATAAACCACACAACACCTCCCAGCAAAAAGGGCTCAAACTTTTAACTGCAAAAAGAAAAAACAGTTACGCAGAACAGCAGAATTTCTTTGGCTGTGTTTTGTATCTGTATTTGGACAGTAGACTCGCCTGGAATCGCAAATCTGCTTATCAGGAATAATAAAAATAATCCTTGCATTTGATAAAGCGCCTGATCAAAGTACAATAATTCTATCTTTCACGCTGCATTTTTAATACAATATAATTCAACTGACATTTATACAGCGACTTGCACTTCATGAGTGCTGCTGTTTGTTAAATTAATGTAATTCATGTGAAATCTGATGTTGATATTGCTCACACTCTCAGTCTGTCTCACAAACATTGTTACTCTCACATTCTTTCTAACACTCTCTAACACTGTGTCGATCACACTCAATCTATCAATCTCCACCTTTGTCTCTGAAACTCTGAGTCTCCCTCCACCTGTTACTCTCAAAATATCTGTCACACACACCTTGTCTCTCTCAGACTTTCAGTCTCTCTCCATCTGTGTATCTCAAAGTCTCTGTAACATACAAACTGTGACTCTCACACAATGTCTCCCTCTCTCTCAAACTCGCAATCTCCCTCTCCCTCTGTATCTCTCACACTCTCGCTCTACCCCTATTTTTCCCTCACACTAACAGTCTGTCTTACAAACGATGTCTATCTCAATGTTAGTCTCTCACTCTATCTTTTTCTCTCTCTCATATATATGTATATATATATATATATATTTATATATTTATATCCTCTTCTGCCTAACTTAGGCTCTAAGATGAGAAGATAAATTGAGGTTCAATGCGTGCCGCGTTGAAGACAAATGTTAAGGATCCCGAGACTCTATTTGGAAAATAGTAAGAAATTTCTCCATGTTAGATTACAGACCAGATCAATTTGCAGATCGTATGCATGGGTTAATATTGGACATTCTGTAAATCGCAAAAGCTGATTGTGTAGCTGAACCACTGTCATGGTGTTAGTTCAGCAACTTTACCGGATACGAGGCACAAACCACACAACATCTCCCAGAAAAAGGTCTCAAGCAAAAGCTAAACGGAACAATAGATTTTATTCAGCGGTGTTTTGTGCCTGTGGTTCTCTGGAAAGTGATCCTGTCTGAAATCTCAAATCTGCCCTCCTGGCTGGTCTCCACAGCTCCACAATACACAATATTCGCTTAATTGAGAGTTATTATTATTATTATCCCCAGCACTGCTGTCTTGTCGGCTTTTGAGATATGACAATCAGATAAGCAAGACATTCTCCACTCTGCATCACCTCGGTTGACCACATGCCAATATTTCTGTCTTCCAAGCTGCAAGTTTAATACAATGTAATACAACTGGCATTTGTATAGCGACTTTCATTTCAGGAGTATTGCTGTTTTTGCAAATTAATGTAATTCAAGTAAAATCTGATGGTAACATTGCTCACACTCTCAGTAACGCTCACAAACAACATTTCTCTCACCAGTCTCTCACACTCTCTAACACAGTGTAGATCACACTCTCAGTCTCTCTGTCTCCATCGGTGTCTCTGAAACTCTGAGTCTCCCTCCCTCTGTTATTCTATAAATATCTGTCGCACACACATTGTGTCTCTCACACTCCCTGTATCTATCTATCAGTGTCTCTCAAAGTGTTTGAAACACACACAATGTGACTCATACGCTGTCTCTTTCTCACATTCCCAATCTCACTATCCATCGATATCTCTCACACTCTCACTCACTCTCCATATATTTTGACTCACACTATCAGTCAGTCTTATAAAATCTGCCTATCTCAATCTTAGTCTCACTCTCTATCCCAATAGTCTCTCTCTCTATGCCCTAACTTAGGCTCCAAGATGAGAGGATCAATTGAGGTTCAATGTGTGCCGTGTTGAAGACAAATGTTAAACATCCCGAGACACTATTTGGAAAAGAGTAATACATTTCACCGTTTGTTAAATTCCAGCTCAACTTAAGCCGTATGAAAGGGTCAATATTGGACATGGTGTCAAATGGCAAAAGATGATGTGTAGCTGAACCACTGTCATGGTGTTAGCTTTGCAAATTTAATGGATATAAAGCACAAAGAACACAACACCACGGAGAAAAGAGGGCTCAAACATTTAACTCAAAAGGGAAAAACACAACTCAACGGAACAACAGAATTTCTTTCGCAGTGTTTAGTGCCTGCATTTCTCTGGACGGTAAACACGTCTGACATCTCAATATGCCCTCCTGGCTCGTCCACACAGCTCCAAAATATTCACTTAATTGAGAGTTCCCCAGCCTTGCTGTATTGACCGCTTTTGAGAACATTACAATCAGTTAAGGAAGTCACTCTCCACTCTGCAACGCATCGTTCTACCGCTTAGGGAGCCAATGTTTCTGTCTTTCAAGCTGTGAGTTTAATAAAATATAATACAAATTACATTCGCATAGCGCCTTTCACTTCGGGAGTTCAGCTGTTTATGCAAATTAATATGATTAATATTAGGTAACATTGCTCACGCTCTGTCTTTCTCGCACACACTCTTGGTCTCTCACACTCTCTCTCACACACTCTGAAACACGATGCAGCTCAAATTCTCAGTCTCTCTATCTCCATCTGTATCTCCCACACTCTCAGGCTGCCTCCATTTGTTTATTTCAAATTCACTGTCACACACACACGGTGTCTCTCACACTCTCAGCCTCTATTCATCTGTGTCTCTCAACGTCTCTCTCACACGCACTGTGTCTCTCACAACCTATCTCTTCCTCTCATACTCCCAATCTCACTCGAACTCTGTACCTCTCACACTCTCTCTCCCTATGGGTCTCACAGGACTTTTTGAAAAGTGTTTGTGTCTTTTTTCACTGCAAAATAATTTGAGCTGATGACAGACATTTCGTTTGCAATCTATACATTCGTACTCAAGAGGAATATCTGAACTTTATTGCTAATTACTGGGATATTTTAGATAGTAATCAAGTGCTCAGCTGAATTTTGTGATGTCGCAACTGTAGCCACTGTTAAGCTAAATGTGTATTTACTACATAAAGCAAGAGGTGTCCACGTTTGTGCTTTATCTGTCCAGGTCTCTGTGTTGCTTTGAGTATGAATAATAAAGCGTTTAACATGAGAGCCCCCTAGCACTGCTGTCGTGTCGGTTTTTGAGAACATTAGGGTCAGATAAGGAAGCCAGTCTCCAGTCCGCAAAACCTCGGTTGACCACAGGTTGTCCCAATAGTTCTTTCTTTCAAGTTGCAAGTTTAATACCATGTAGTTCAACTGACATTTGTACAGCGACTTCCACTTCAGGAGTTCAGCTGTTTGTGCAAATCAATGTAATTCATGTGAAACCTGATGGTAACATTGCTCACACTCTCATTCTCTCTCATAAAGAGCTTTATTCACATTTTGTCTCACACTAACACTGTGTAGATCACAATCTCAATCTATCAATCTCCATCGTTGTCACTGAAACTCTGAGTCTCCCTCCATCTGTTACTCTTATAATATCTGTCACACAAACATTGTCTCTCTCAGTCCCTCAGTCTCTCTCCATCGGTGTCTCTCTAAGTTTCTGTAACACACAAACTGTAACTCTCACACACCGTCTCTTCCTCTCACACTCCCAATCTCAATCTCCCTCTACATCACTCACACTTTCACTCACTCTCCACATATTTTCCCCCACTATCAGTCTGCCTTACAAACTGTGTCTATGTCAATCTTAGCCTCTGTCTGTCTGTCTGTCTGTCTGTCTGTCTGTCTGTCTGTCTGTCTGTCTGTCTGTCTGTCTGTCTGTCTGTCTGTCTGTCTGTCTGTCTGTATATATATAGATCCCCTTCTGTCTAACTTAGGCTCTTAGATAAGAAAATAAATTGAGGTTTAATGCGCGCTGTGTTGAAGACAAATGTTAAATATCCCGAGACTCTATTTCGAAAAGAGCTGGGAATTTCTCCATATGTTAGATTACAGACCAGATAATTTTAAGCCGTGTGCAAGGGTTAATATTTGACGTTCTCTAAATGGCAAACTTAACTGTGTAGCTGAACCACTGTCTGGTGTGAGCTTAGCAACTTTAACGGATGTAAAGCACAAACCACAAAACACTTCCCTGCAAAAAAGGGATCACACATTTAAATGAAAAAGGAAGAGAAACAACTGAACGGAACAACATAATTCTTTAATGGTGCTGAGTAGCTGTATTTTTCTCGACAGTAAATTAGTCTGATATTTCAAATCTGCCCTCCTGGCTGGTCGCCGCAGTTCCGCAGTACACACTATTCGCTCAATTTATAGTTCCCCAGGGATTGTCTTGTCGGCTTTTGAGATATTAAATCAGATAAGTGAGACATTGTCCACTCTGCAACACCTCGGTTGATCACATACAGTGCCAATATTTCTCTCTTCCAAGCTGCAAGTTTAATACATAATAATACAACTGGCATTTGTTTAGCGACTTTCATTTCAGGAGTATTGCTATTTGTGCAAATTATTTAATTCGTGTGAAAACTTATGGTAACATTGCTCACACCCTGTCTCCCTCACACACACGGCATATTTACACACTCTCTCACACTCTGAAATACTGTGTAGATCACAGTCTCAGTTCCTCAATCTCCACCGAGTCTCCCACACTCTCAGTCTCCCTCCAGCTGTTTCTTTCAAATTCACTATAAATACCGTGTGTCTCACAATCTCTCTCTCTCTCTTCCTCTGTCCGTCTGTCTATTTTAAGCTCTATGACTCTAAGATGAGACGATAAATTGAGGTTGAGTTTGCGCTGTCTCAAAGACAAATATTCAATATACCGAGGCGCCATTGAGAAAACAGAAGGGAGTTTCTCCATATTTCAGATTCCAGAACAGCTCAATTTAAACTGAATGGAAGGTTTAATATTGGACATTGTGCATAACGGCAAAAGCTGATACATGGCTGAACCACTGTGATAATATTGGCTTAGCAGCGTTATCGGATAAAGCACAAACCACACAACACCTCCCTGGAAAAAGGTCTGAAATATTTAACTGAAAAAGAAAAAAAACTAAACACAACAGCAGAATTTTTTTACCGGAGTTTTGACTCTATAGTTCTCTAGAAAGTAAACCCGCTTGTAATCTCAATAATGCCTTTTAATAATAATAGTAATCCTTAAATTTCATATAGCGCATCTTCACCCCTTCGAGACGTTCCAGAGACGTATTCGATATTTCGGACAAGGCTTTTGTTATTCAGCATCAAATTTCATTTATGTAAGAGAACAAAGAAGGTAGAACCTGAAAGGCAAAATTTTAATCAGCAGAATAAGCAAAAGTGGTCACCAACTCTTACCTTTCTACCCCACATCCATTTCCTGAGCAGGACCTCTTCTTTCCACTTCCACCACATTGCACGACTCAATCCGTGCATCACATCCACATCAGACAAAATACTGATCCACGCCTCCGTAACCTCCCGGCAAAGCCAACGCGAAAAGAGAAGAGAGTTGCTCAAAGTTTTAATATCCAGTGCAGCTCAAATCAAACCGCATGAAATGGATAATTTTGAACATGTTGTCGAATGGCAGAGGCTGATGTGTAGCTGAATCATTGTTATGGTGTTAGCTTAGCAGAGTCAGCACATAAAGCACAAACCACACAAAATGCCCTGCAAAAGAGTACTGAAACATTCAAATGCCAAAAGAAAAGAGACTAATCAGAAACACTGAATTTCTTTTAGCGCTAATTTTTCTGTATACGTCTTTGGACAGTAAACACCCTTCGAATCTCCAGTGTCCTTTTTAATAATAGTAGTAATCATTGCATTCGCTTCAACACTTTATCGAAACGTTTCAGAGAAATATTATGTATTTCAGACAAGACGTTGTTCAAAGTGACAGTGCATTTATGCCAGAAAATGAGAAGGCAGCAAATCAAACGCACAATTTTAATCGGAACAATGTGCAACACAGGTCAACGATAGCACTGTTTTCTTTTGCACATTCATTGCTGACCAGGACCACTTGTTTGCAACTGTGCCACCTTACCTGCCCCAATCCACACAGAGCCTAATAATAATCCCTCCAAAAAAACAACAATAATAAATTGGTCATTTTCAATCTACGAGTGTTTGGGGGACATTGCTGTGCGCAATTGGCTGCCGCGTTCGCCCACAAATATACAGTCAATTCACTTTACAGTGTGTTCTGTGAAGCGCTTTGGGATGTCCTCCCGACGTGAAAAGCGCTATATCAAATGCAAGGATTATTATTATTATTATTATTATTATCCACACATCACATTTACAGAAGCCTACACACACTCACCCACAACCTTCGTCACTCCGGGCTGGACGGTTCCAATGACCGTCTGCCTGGTCTCTCCAGCTCCACAAAACACAACCATTCCACATGACAATCAGATAAGGAGGCCAGTCTCAACCCTGTAAGGCCTCGCTTGACCGCTTAGTGGAGTCCTGCAGCTGTGGAGTCCTGTGGCTCAGTGGTTAGAGCACTCGCTTTGCAAGTGAGAGACCCGAGTTCAATTCCAGGCAGAGGGCGAAACCTTGGGCAAGTTTCCTTACTCCACACAGAGCCTAATAATATTCCCTCCAAAACCAAAAACACTAATTAATTGGTCATTTTCAATCTACGACTGTTTGTGGGACATTGCTGTGCGCAATTGGCTGCCGCGTTCGCCCACAAATATACAGTCAATTCACTTTGCAGTATGTTCTGTGAAGCGCTTTGGGACGTCCTCCCGACGTGAAAAGCGCTATATCAAATGCAAGGATTATTATTATTATTATTATTATTATTAGGGAGCCAACATTTATGTCGTTCAAGCTACAAGTTCAAGACGATGCAATACAAATTACATTTGCGCAGCGCATTGCGGAGTGAAACACATATTTGCAAATTTCCAGTGTTGCGCTTTATCTGTCCAGAAATTTGAGCTGCTTTGAGCAATAAAGAGTTAACTTGAGAGAGCCCCAGCCCTGCCGTCTTGTCGGCTTTTGACAATATTACAATCAGATAAGGAAACTGCTCTCCAGCCTGGAATATCGCGGGTGACCGCAGGGGTAGACTGTCTAACAAGCTGCAATTTTAATAGAGTCACAATACAAATTTAATAATAATAATAATAATAATAATCCTTGCATTTGATATAGCGCTTTTCACGTCGGGAGGACGTCCCAAAGCGCTTCACAGAGTACACTGTAAAGTGAATTGACTGTATATTTGTGGACGAACGCGGCAGCCAATTGCGCACAGCAATGTCCCACAAACAGTCGTAGATTGAAAATGACCAATTTATTATTGTTTTGGGTTTTGGAGGTTTATTATTAGGCTCTGTGTGGAGTAAGGAAACTTGCCCGAGGTTTCGCCCTCTGCCTGGAATTGAACTCAGGTCTCTCACTTGCAAAGCGAGTGCTCCAACCACTGAGCCACAGGACTCCACAAAATTTCATTGCTTAGGGCCCTTCACTTCGGGAGTTCAGTTCTTTGCGCAAATTAATGCATTTCACTTGAAAATTGATGACGACGTTGCTCAGACTTTCAGTTCTCTCGCACACACACGTGTTCTCTCACACTGTCTCCGGCTCTGAAGCACTGTGTAGCTCACATTCCCAGTCTGTCTGTCCCCCATCTGTTTGTTAACATTTCCAGTTGTCCTCCATCTGTGGAGTCCTGTGGCTCAGTGGTTAGAGCAGTCGCTTTGCAAGTGAGAGACCTGAGTTCAATTCCAGGCAGAGGGCGAAACCTTGGGCAAGTTTCCTTACTCCACACAGAGCCTAATAATAATCCCTCCAAAACCAAAAACAATAATAAATTGGTCATTTTCAATCCACGACTGTTTGTGGGACATTGCTGTGCGCAATTGGCTGCCGCGTTCGCCCACAAATATACAGTCAATTCACTTTACAGTGTGTTCTGTGAAGCGCTTTGGGACGTCCTCCCGACGTGAAAAGCACTATATCAAATGCAATGATTATTATTATTATTATTATTATTATTGTTGTTGTTATTATTGTTATTGTTGTTATTGTTGTTATTGTTGTTATTGTTGTTATTGTTATTGTTATTATTATTGTTATTGTTATTATTAGTGTTATTATTATTATTATTGTTATTATTGTTATTATTATAATTATTATTATTGTTATTATTATTGTTATTGTTATTATTATTATTATTGTTATTATTATTATTATGTTATTATTGTTATTATTGTTATTATTATTATTATTGTTATTATTATTATTGTTATTATTGTTATTATTGTTATTGTTATTATTATTGTTATTATTATTATTATTATTGTTGTCGTTGTTATTATTGTTATTATTATTATTATTTCTGGTTCTGTCAAAATCTGTGTCACATAAGTGGGGAAACTTGAAGGAGTTGGAGGGCGCAGATTGACAGTCGTGTTGACCGTTACGAAGCTGTTGAGTTTCCTGAAGAGCCATTACGCAGCGAGTTATCGGGAGAGAGAGAGAGAGAGAGAGAGAGTGACGACTGAAGGAGGAGCGCGAGGCAGGAAGTCGGGGACCTGATTGATGGAGACGCGACTGTCAGAGAACGCGTTCTGACTGCCAACTCAACCGACCAATCACGAGCTCCGGCTGAGGGGGCGGGGGACTGAACGGACCAATGGAAAGCGAGTGGGCGGGGAAAGTTTGACGGTTGGAGACAGCGCGAGGCCAGAAGTGGAGATGATTGACGTGGACGGGGACCTATCAATGAAAGCGCGAATGATAATTGTTGTGTACAGACCAATGGGAAGCGCTGGCTGTCGGGGCGGGTGATGGAGTGGGCCAATGGGGGGTGAGTGGGTGGTCACATGGTCAGAGGAAGCGGAAGGCCGTGAGGAGTAGAGGTGATTGACTCAGACGTGGACCGATCAGAGCGCGGTATCTGCCGGACATTCAGACAGAGCCTATGGGAAGCTCCGGCTGAGGAGGCGGGTGTTGGGAGCGGACCAATGGGGAGAGAGTGGGCGGGGACAGAGTCAGACCGGGAGGAGGAGAGGCTCAAACATGGCCGAGAATCGCCCGGAGTGACAGCGGCGCCGAAACTGGGGCTCCGATAGAGGGTCAGAGGTCAGTGGGAGACAATCAGAGAGAGAGAGTGTGTGATGGTGGGAGTCAGAATAGGTGTGTGAGAGTGTGAGTGTTTGTGAGTGTGTCAGTGTCACTGTAAGTGTGTCAGTGAGTGTCCTAAGTGAGTGTGTCAGTGTCACTGTGTGAGAGTTTGTGAGTGTTTGTGAGTGTGTGAGTTTGGGAGTGTCTGTGAGTGTGTGAGAGTTTGGGAGTGAGTGTGAGTGTGAGAGTTTGGGAGTGTTTGTGAGTGTGTGAGTGAGAGTTTGGGAGTGTTTGTGAGTGTGTGAGTTTGGGAGTGTTTGTGAGTGTCTGTGAGTGTGTGAGTGTGAGAGTTTGGGAGTGTTTGTGAGTGTGTGAGTGAGAGTTTGGGAGAGTTTGGGAGTGTGAGTGTGAGAGTTTGGGAGTGTTTGTGAGTGTGTGAGTGTGAGAGTTTGGGAGTGTGTGAGTGTGAGAGTTTGTGAGTGTTTGTGAGTGTGTGAGTGAGAGTTTGGGAGTGTTTGTGAGTGTGTGAGTTTGGGAGTGTTTGTGAGTGAGAGTTTGGGAGTGTTTGTGAGTGTGTGAGTGAGAGTTTGGGAGTGTTTGTGAGTGTGTGAGTGGGAGAGTTTGGGAGAGTTTGGGAGTGTGTGTGAGTGTGAGAGTTTGGGAGTGTCTGAGTGTGTGAGTGTGAGAGTTTGGGAGTGTTTGTGAGTGTGTGAGTGTGAGAGTTTGGGAGTGTCTGTGAGTGTGAGAGTTTGTGAGTGTTTGTGAGTGTGTGAGTGAGAGTTTGGGAGTGTTTGTGAGTGTGTGAGTGAGAGTTTGGGAGTGTTTGTGAGTGTGTGAGTGTGAGAGTTTGGGAGTGTTTGTGAGTGTGTGAGTGAGAGTTTGGGAGTGTTTGTGAGTGTGTGAGTGTGAGAGTTTGGGAGTGTGTGTGAGTGTGAGAGTTTGGGAGTGTGTGAGTGTGAGAGTTTGGGAGTGTGTGTGAGTGTGAGAGTTTGGGAGTGTGTGAGTGTGTGAGTGTGAGAGTTTGGGAGTGTGTGAGTGTGAGAGTTTGTGAGTGTTTGTGAGTGTGTGAGTGAGAGTTTGGGAGTGTTTGTGAGTGTGTGAGTTTGGGAGTGTTTGTGAGTGTGAGAGTGTGAGAGTTTGGGAGTGTGAGAGTTTGGGAGTGTTTGTGAGTGTGTGAGTGAGAGTTTGTGAGTGTTTGTGAGTGTGTGAGTGAGAGTTTGGGAGTGTGTGTGAGTGTCTGTGAGTGTGTGAGTGTGAGAGTTTGGGAGTGTCTGTGTTTGGGAGTGTTTGGGAGTGTGTGAGTGTCACTGTGAGTATGTCAGTGAGTGTCTTAGTGAGTGTGTCAGTGTCACTGTGTGAGAGTTTGTGAGTGTTTG